CCCCCCAGCCCCCCCCCAGGGGCACCCAAAGGTGCTGCCCACCCCCCATCGTGGGGGTGGGGGGGGTCACACCGTGCTGGGACCCCCAAACCCAGCTTCATCCCCACCACCTACTTCTCCAGGATCTGCTGCCGGGTGGCTTCGGCAGCCTGGCAGGCAGCCCGGGGCTGCTCCAGGAGTTTGGTGGCTTTTCCTTCCAGGTCGGTGTAGAAATCCTTCCCCTCCTGGGATTTCTTCATCAGATCTTCGTAGGCTTCGTAGGAGGCCACCAAGGTCTGGACAGTGGTGTTCCACCTAGGGAGATGGGTCAAAGCTGGGTGTCCCTGCTCCTGGGAGCTGAGGAACCCACCAGCACCCACCGGTGGCCCTCAAGCAGTAGGACACGATGAAGGGACATACTGGGGAAGCTGGTGGTGACCCCAAGGAGAAGCCTTGGGGTGGGGTGAGGGTTGTTCCTGCACACCCAGACCCCAGCAGAGCACCCCGAGCCCCTGCCCCACTCACTTGTGCTCCACCTTGGCCAGGACCTTGCGCACGGCCGCGTACTTGACGTTGGCGTCCGTCAGGGCCTTCAGGACGTTCTCCTGGGCAGCCAGGTTCTGCTCCAGGTACACCTTGATCTGGTCGTACTTCTTCAGCTGCTCCTCGAAGAGTTTCTGTCGAGAGAAAGGGGGTGGGCTCTGAGGGGTGGCTGCTGGGGGGAGGTCCGGCCGCAGCCCCGGCTGGTGTCCCTGCCACCCACCTTCATCTCGGAGCGGTCGGCGGTGACCAGCGAGGTGGTGATGTCGTCCTTCTGGATCATCTCTCGCAGCTGCTGCTCCAGGGACATCCTCTGGTCCCTCATCTCCTGCACTTTGCCGAGGATCCGCTTCAAGTTCTGCAGCACCTGCTTGTCGTCTGAGGGGAGGGGACAAGAGGGAGGGCTGAGCCAGCAGGCTAGGTGCTGCCAAAGGGTTCATAGAATCACAGAACCACTCAGGTTGGAAAAGCCCCTTGGGATCACCCAGTCCAACCATCACCCCTGCTCTGCAAAGTTCTCCCCTAAACCATTTCCACATCCAGGGAGGGTGACTCCACCACCTCCCTGGGCAGCCTGTTCCAGTGTCTGACCACTCTCTGTGAAGAAATTGTTCCTAATGTCCAGTCTGACCCTGCCCTGGTGCAGCTTGAAGCCCTTC